AATTTGTAATAGTAATTCCCAAGTGCAAGCCACTTAATACCAAAAGTAAATGGCAGTGATGGAATTTCCACTCAACGGGTGTCTGCTTAATGGAAAAAAAATGTTTAATGGTTGACACTATGTCATGTTGTTAGACAGAAAATGTTTAAGACTAAGGGGTGGATGGGTTAGAGATCCAGGAGTCTTCACTCCCAGAACTGCTGCTTTGCAGATGGGGTTGAGATGTGTTTGTGAACCGGGATTTTTTGTTTGCTAAGTGTCAAACCTGCCCTAATAATTTCTGCCAGTGTCAGCCCATGTCCGCATGCTGGTTTCCTCCTCGCTTACACCTGCACTCACAGACACGTGTGTGTACCCACACAGGAGCAGCGGTCGGCATCCTGGGCACCTAACCAACCTTTCTGGGATACAGGGGTGTCTTGAGAGCTGGATGAAGCTCCAGGGGCAGTTGCTGGATATTCCCACATTAAAGTGTGTTTCTTCAAGGTGCCTTTATCTGAGTAGTGCTGCTTGATTTAGTCCTAAAGTTTCCTCACCCCTCTGTGTGAGCTGACACAGGCAGGACACAGGACAAACCACAAAACCATGGATGAAATACAAAGAGTAAATTTATTCTCGTTACTTTGTCCGAGGGATCCTCGGAGCAGCACCGGGGCAGAGGCACACAAGCAGGGACACAGGCACCACGCAGCTCGGTCCTTGCCAGACAATCACAGAACCTGCTGTTGGTGCCTGTGTTTCAGGGATTCACGCAGGCGTAGCTGTCCCCTGGGCTTTGATCTTTCCCACAGCAGGGCAGGAATCTCAAGCGTGTTCGATAGGGTGCCTCTATCACAGACTTACGTTATTGAAACACAGTTGTTCTACTTGTCCAACACACAAGGCTAAACAACTTGTTTATATGTGTTTTTCTACGCCTCAGCTGCAGGTCACTTGAGTGTGCTTATAATCCTCCTCACCAATCTTCCGTTATTTTCCCACACACTCATTAACTATTGTTGCATCAGGTATATCACTGAAACAATCTGTTGGCAATGAGTAGTTGTGAGGGAGTGCAGAGAGATTTGTTTATATTGATCAGGCAAATCCTGCAGCATTTTCCATTTCTTGCTTAGATAATCCATGATCTTCCTCCTGAGTCTTTGGCACCTCTGGGGCCTTGACAGACCCGGAGGTACCTGGCGCTTGGTGCTATCAAACGCATCCATCAAACGTGTCCTAAAATGATGGAAGGAGTGGAAAAGAATTCTCCTTGCTCTGGTGCCAGGTCAGCACTTGTCAGTTTCCATCCATTTAATTACAGGTTTCCAAAGTCAACCCTAAGCATGGACTAGCTGCCATTTCAACTGTCAAGCTGCCAGATATTTTCCATCTTCAGCACTGCTGTAGCATGGTGTCTTCTTCAGCTCTCACAGTGGCAGCACTGAACTGCCAGTGTCTGGGTGTCATCTGAAGGGCTGGAGTTGCCTTTCC